CCCCTTTTCCCTCGGGATCCCGATCCCGGATTTCCCCCAGCTCCGAAGGCTCCTCCCTCCCCAGTTCCATGGGGAAAATTCCCTGGATTTGAGTTCTTCCCGCCCTTTTCCCAACCCCTGATCCCTTTTCCAGAGCCAAAATCCCGGGAAAAGCTTCCCGGAATTCCCGGATCCGCACCTGGAGCAGCTTCTCCTCCCACTCCTGCTGGTCCAGGGACTCCTCGGTGTTCTCTGGGGGAAAATTGGGATTTTGGGAATTCCCAGGGACCCGGGAATGTGGGGAGAATTCCCCAGGGAAAAGGTTTGGGAACACTGGGAAAAATGCCCGCGTGGGAAAAGTGGGAATTCTGCTGGGTCTGGGATCAGAGGGATTTGGGAGAAGATTCCCGGAGAAAACGGAGTGGGGAGTGGATCCCAGAAATCCCACAAATCCCAAAAATTCCACGGATCCCATCCCATTATCCCACAAATCCCACGGATTCCAAGAATCCCACAAATCCCATAAATCCCATGGCTCCCATCCCCAAAATCCTATAAATCCCACAAATCCCATTTTCCCTTAGATCCCATCCCATAAATGCCATGAATCCCACAAATCCCATACATCCCATGGATCCCATGGATCCCATAAATCCCATCATCCCATAAATCCTACAAATCCCATCCCAAAAATCCCATCAATCCCATTATCCCATTTTCCCAATGGATCTCAGGCCATAAATCCCATAAATCCCATTAATCCCATCCCAAAAATCCCATTATCCCCTTCTCCCATGGATCCCATCCCAAAAATCCAATAAACCCATAAATCTAATAAATCCCAGATTCCCATGGATCCCAAAAATCCCATAAATCCCAAAAATTGTACAAATCCCACCTTCCCATGGATTTCATCCCACAAATTCCATAAATCCCATAAATCCTCCAAATCCCCCAAATGCCAAAAATCCCATAAATCCCACGAATCCCAGAAAATCCCACAAATCCCATTTTCCCATGGATCTCATCGCACAAATCCCATAAATCCCACAAATCCCACAAATCCCCAAAATCCCCAAAATCCCAGAAAATCCCCCAAATCCGGGCGAGCCTCCCCGGAATCCCCATCCCGAATCCTGCCCCGGCCCCGTTCCCGCCCTTCTCTTCCCGGGTTTTTTTTGGGATGGGGAAATTCCCGGGGTGGGAATTTCGGGGCCCTCTGGGGGTTTCCCGACCTTGCAGGAGCCGCAGGAGTTTGGGAATTTCGGAATTCCAGGATTCCCGCAGCTCCGGCGGGACGAGGCGCAGCTCCCGGAGCAGCAGCAGCGCCGGCGCCCCGCGGCCGCCGCCCGCCCACGGCCGCCACGAGACCGCCTGGAAAAACGGGAATGGGAACAACGGGAACAACGGGAACAACGGGAACAACGGGGAAAACGGGAACAGGAAAAACGGGAATGGGAACAACGGGAACAACGGGAACAACGGGAACAACGGGGAAAACGGGGAAAACGGGAACGGGAACGGGAATGGGGAAAACGGGAACGGGAACGGGAATGGGGAAAACGGGAACGGGAACGGGAATGAGAACGGGGATGGGAATGAAAACAACGGGGAAAACGGGAATGAGAACGGGAAAAACAGGAATGGGAACGGAAACGAGAACGGGGAAAATGGGAATGAGAACAGGAAAAACGGGAATGGGAACGGGAATGAAAACAACGGGAAAAACGGGAAAAACGGGAACAACGGGAAAAACGGGAACAACGGGAAAAACGGGAACGAGAACGGGAATGAGAACGGGGAAAACGGGAACAACGGGGAAAACGGGAACAACAGGGAAAACGGGAACGAGAACGGGAATGAGAACGGGGAAAACGGGAACGGGAACAACAGGGAAAACGGGAACAACAGGGAATGGGAACGAGAACGGGGAAAATGGGAATGAGAACGGGAATGAGAA